ATCATTGGAATCTACTCAAAACGAAGAAACCACGAAGTCAAGACCATGGATCACGAAGTTAAATGCACAAGGAGTTCCTTCTCGACTTGAAGCGGAAACGAGAGGGATCATGTATTTACCCTGGAGGAGTGAGTGGGTCTTGGCTCCTAGAGGCGGTGGTGTTGGGGGGCTGGTAGGCGATGTGAAGAAGCTGACCGAGCTGTGTAATTATATGTTCTGGGTCAGGAAGCCACAGAAGGAATAAGTACGTGCGTAAAACGCATCTAGTTGGGAGAAGGAGTAATGTTATCATATCTGAATCCATGGTGATGCTTTGGTATGGATTTACAATCATGTTTTCTCACTGGGGTACACTAACGTCGTATTCACAGTTATTGGACATTTTATGATGACTCGATATTTTGTGTATGTCAGATTTCAAGCTGTCGCATATCTCGATTCAACGCTGAAAGGGCAGTGGCTCGCATGCAATTCTGTGTCCTTTGTTTGAATTGTTCGCTCTATAAGCTTTTCGATTTCAAGTTCTGTCTCCATAAATTTCACTTTGACAACACGTGCTCACAATATGCGGGTGTGTTAGATCACCTGTGTCACGTTAGGACGATGTTGACCTATGTTGACACATACTTGATTCCAAACTCCCAAGCTACCATCATTTCAACTCAACAGTGTCTGCTTCAGGGTGTGGATGAAAATGAACGTAGGCTCCTCTTGGCTTTCTAGACCTGCCTTGCTGTCTTGATCTCTACTTGCCTTTGCGACTTGGAACTGTCTCTCTGTTGCCTGTTCTCTAACGTCTACGTCTTGGATTTCGTCTACCACGACGCGGATTAAAGCCTCTTACAACGTCTTTTGAACTCGTTCCTCATGAGCTTACACGACATGTATGGTGATCGGCAGGATGCAACTTGTGAGTGTAGTACTGCTAGCTATATGTCCATTCATTAACTGTGTTGTTCTACAAGCGGGTGGTAATGATCATCCTACTCAACGTCAGCCCTATAGGGTTGCTGGTATGTATTTCTTGAGGTTGCAGTAGACATTTTGACTGTCAGCCTCTATTCCCGATCGAGTAGAGGAGGGCTGACACTCGGAAATGGCATATAAACCAGTCTCGTTCGCAATGCTCTTTCCCCCACGGCTTTCCCTCTCTCCGCCACTTTCGACTTGCATTCCTCTTATCTTCCCCTCAAGAACATCAAGAGGAATCATCAACACACAGTCAAGTGGACGAGTAAGTACGCATTTCGTCAACCGGCTCTCCTCTCATCCTCGACATTGTTCCTAGTCCGCACCACCCCGCCGTCAACCACACTCTTTTCTCGTTGCAACCCCCACCTTCTTTTCAGCATGTCACTGGTAAGTATCCTCATATTTACGGTATTTATTTTTGCTCACTCTCCCCATTAGACTTCACCGTCCTCAAGTATGGGGAATGTTAGCCACACTCGGGATCGAAGCACACTCCGCGCGAGCACTTCGACTCTTCGTCCTATTCTACGAAAAACCTCAAAGCATTCATCGCAGGCTTCAGCATCTTCATCACAACGCAATTTAAGCTTATCTCCATCGCCCACCAAGTCTATTAATCTGCATGACTTCAAATGTGTCGCCTTCGTCGGCGAAGGAAGCTTCGGTACCGTCCACTGCCTCGAGCATAAATCGAGCGGCTTGCGAGCAGCATTGAAGACGATGAAGAAATATCCCAACGTATGGCCCGATTACTTCGAGGATCTGCCAGAAGACGTTCGTGAAAAGGAACAAAACCGAATCCGGAGATTAACCTGGGCAAATACAGTCAATGAAAGCCTTGCGTTGCAGAAGCTACATGGTCAAAAGCACGTATTACAACTGCATGCGGCATTCCAGGATGCAGACAACTTTTATCTCTTAACGGTGCGTCTCAATAACCCACCACACATCACCAAGTAAACTGACACAGTGTGCTATAGGACTTCTATCCCGGAAGAGATCTCGAGTTCCTGCTGACATGTCAGGAGGATGGAGTGTTTGATTTCGAGGCCGTGCAATTCTACCTCGCCGATATCGTACGTCTTTCTTTCCTACTCATACTGGCTTCTGTTAATGCGATTCTGTTAACTCTAGCTGCTCGGTCTCAAGGCTATCCACGACCAAGCGATCTTCCATGGCGATGTCAAACTGAAGAACATTCTCCTCGGTGCCCACGGACATGTGGTCATTGCCGATTTTGGTCTCACTCACATCTTCCAAGGAGGTAAGGGTCCTGCTCAACGCTCAGTGGAGGAACATATCCGCGAGTTTGAGGGTGGGACTCTGGACTACCTTGCACCCGAAGTACTGGAGACACAAAATCGGACCGCTGGAGAAAGTTACGGTTATCCCGCAGATATCTGGGCATTGGGGATCGTCGCGTACGAGATGCTCGTCGGAAAGGTGAGCGTCGCTTTCCTTGGTATCATGCCTTTTGAAGCTGACCCACATGCATTGTTGACATAGCACCCTTTCTGCAACATTATCGATGAAGACGACTTGTACTCTTACGTTGACGAAACAGGTGTCCAATTCAAGGTTGAAGACGTTCAGGAATATGACTTGAACTTCCAGTCGATCGACTTTGTCCGAAACGTCAGTAACATCTCTTGCTTTTGCTCTCTACCGGTCGTTTTCTGATGTTTGGTGCTTCCAGGCTTGTCGTCGTGACCAATACGAACGACCTACAGCAGAGCAACTGATGAGAACGGAGATGTTCGATGGCTTGTAAGTTGCATTCCTCATTTCTCTCGACGTTGCTGAGGAGTTTGTTCGTTGTAGCGACTGGGCAGCCCACATGGCAGGGATGACTGAAGCACCAGGCATCCCTCCTGAAGATTTCTTTCCCGAGTCCAAAGGCAAACATCCTCCAGTGCAGATTTTCTCTACTGACTTCGTACAAATGACCGAGGACAATACATTCGACTTTAACTACAGATCTCCAGACTTTTTCGAAAGGTTTGTTTCATCGGCGAATTCTCCCATCCTTTCGGTTGAGGATACAGCGGAGATGGATGAGAAAGATGGAGACATCACCATCACCGCGTCGTACTCTGAACCCCTTCTTCTCGACAGCCCTCCACCATCACCTCTCCTTCCTTCTCCCCCACCTCCCTCACCGCGAGAACCGACACCGGAACCTGAGACGACATTGGACACTGTGGCAATTGCTACTCCAGCAGAGAAATACGACGCTCAACCCGAAGGATTATTCTCCAAATTCAAAGATCTCGCCGGTTCAGTTTGGGGTCAAGTCACTCACATCGCTAAATCTTGTGAACAATCGGTCACCATGGAATCTACGAAAGACATCACACTAGGCCCCTCTCCTTCAGAGCCTGATTCCATCTTTTCTGCCTCATCTTCATCGTCTCGTCTCCCTCCTCCTTGCTTCGTCTCTGGTATCTCTCGCGACATGATTCCCAGTCTCGGTCACTCTATCTGGTCACCCTGTTCAATTCCTTCTGCCACCACCTCTCAGCTCATTGATCTTTCTTACAACCCTCTGACTAAATCAAATCTACCAACGGCACAAACTACTGCTCGTTCCATCTACGGTCTTTCTCGAAACGTCATCCCTGGTCTTAGCTCCTCTATCTGGTCTCCCCGTCTCCCTGCAACAGAATTCAAGATTCCTCGCACTCCGATTACCTTATTGGCCCCTCCGGAGTTATCTGAGTTTGAATCTCAACTTCCAGCAACACCGTCATATTCGGCATTAGGTTTGGCTATCACATCTGCACTTACCAGATGCTGCCAAAAAGTCCCGAGCTTCCCTTCTGTCTCAAGCCTGCCACTGCCACCCGCGCAGCAACCTCTGCGAAATGTTTTCACTTCAATCGTCGTGAAAGCTCTTACTTTGGGTGGTCAACTTTGGTCCCAACAGCGCCTTACTTTCGTTTGAAGTCCTACAGTTGTCTCTTTGTGATTTGGATACTGGTATGTGCTCTTCCATAGACTGTTCGTTGCACTCGCCTCATCTAACTATTGATTTCATCTTTGTTAGGTTATGTGCTAGCCATTATATTTAATGTGTCAAGCTTTCGGCCACGACTTCTCTTATCACTACTTCGACTTGGACTCGGCTTCCTCTGTTGTTTCAAGGCTCTATAATGACTGGCTGCTTTTCGCTACTAGACCTCACTTGACTTGACTGTGCTTCTTTTCTGGCGACATCGTCATCGACATCTCTGGCTTACTGGTTCTGTCTTGTCTCTGGTGGTCTTTCTGTCCTCACAACGAATTGACTTTGCTGGCTTCTGACGACTCCTCCGATCCGACTTGTCTCTCATACATCTTGGATAATGGTTGTATCTACGATATCGATATCTTCACTCAATATATTTCTTCAATTCTCGTCGTAGAAAGTCTGGAACAAGTCGGTGGCTTATTTTTCCTCAAATCCACTTTTGACAATATAGTAGCACCGCAATGAATGAATGATTTGGTGTGGCATGGGACGTTGGAAAAAGACACCTTGATATGAATTGGCACAGGCTCTTAAGATGAATTAACATGACAATCTGTGGAGCAGGTATGCTGAAGGACTTAGAAGCAGATTCATTGCTCGTGCCTAGGGATAGGGACATGCAATCAATGGTAGCTCTAGATCGCAATAACTTGTTTATGTTGACCCACAGTAGAATATCTGTTCCGGTCTCGCAAATCATTCAGTAACCAGATATTTTATTTAACGCGAGGCAACCATAACAAGGAATACTCGATCTACCAAGTGTATGGCCCACTTGTGTCAGTACCCCCCATACTTGCAATATACAGCAGATTACGCACTGACAATGGGTGGCTTGTACTGGCGGACATATATCATTTGGCACCTATAGGGATGCAGTATAGATTAGAATATGAGACTACTATTCTGGTAAAACAAGCAAGCAAATTCTTCAGAGGCCGGACGATTAGTGGTGTAGTGGATAAAAATCAGTGATAAAGTGTGACTTTCTGTGACTCCGACTCCGTCACAAAAAGGTTGAGTTAGCCCAGGTTCGAACTGAGGACCTTCTGTGACACTATGCTTACGTAATGATTACGTAAGCAATCAGATTCGTGTAAGACAGACGCGATAACCACTACGCCACTAGCCCGTTAACGACATCGAAAGTACCTAGACCATAGTGAGTCCGAAAAACGAGATTCAAACGAGGGAACTTTGAACTGGCGTTGAGTAGAGCGTGACCGGTTTGGCGCCCAAGAGTTCCCCCTATCACGTGCTTGATGTGTGGCTGAAAAATGAAACTGTATAGTTTACGTCCGAATTCGCTCACGGTATCCGTCGCCCATGCCAGATCAAATCAAGGTATAGTCCCCAGTCCCGCCGCCCGTCCCCTCCCTCAAGAATAACTTCAAGATGGTCAGTACAGTCTTTTCTGAAACATGGGGGATATGCTGATAGTTTGCTCTGTAGACCAAGCGCACCCGTAAAGTTGGCGTCACTGGAAAGTACGGTACTGTGAGTTCATTTCTTTTAGAGGAGGATGGATATGTTAGAACGAGGAGATGGTGTTGAGGAATCAAGGTGTTTGGAAGAGCGGGAAGCTGATACCATTTGGTTATCTTTTTCTAGCGTTATGGTGCATCCCTCCGTAAGCAAGTGAAAAAGGTCAGTCCATACATTGTCTTGTTGAGAGTGCATCCATCTAATTCTACGTCGATTATGTTAGATGGAAATCACTCAACACGCACGCTACACTTGCACCTTCTGCGGAAAGGATTCCGTCAAGCGTCAAGCTGTCGGTATCTGGGGATGCAGGTCATGCAAAAAGGTCGTCGCTGGCGGCGCATGGACCGTCTCAACAACAGCTGCTGCTACCGTTCGCAGGTCAGTTTACCTTGCCTAGTCGACAATGATGACATCTGGTCTGATAATCTATGTCGTAGCACCATCCGTCGGTTGCGCGAATTGACTGAGGCCTAAGAGTCTTCATCGTTCCGACCCCTGTTTTCATGCTTTCTTATTCTATACTCTTCTCTGTCGACTATCCGCACCGCATCATGTATCCTTCAATGACTATGCACCCACGCGCAGCATGCACACGCCAAAATCTGATTTAGATACCAGATGTGAGATTGTAAAATGTGTGAATATAAAGTATCCTTGCAAGCAGAGTCAACAGTACAGAGAACTCTGCAAAATGAATCCTCAAAGTCAGGAAACCTGAAATAATAATGATTGCCATTTTGGTCAAAGTTGTGTCCTGTTTGTCTGGTTTGTCATCCGCATACCACAAGCTTCCGTCTCCAACCAACCCAACCTTGTTCCCAACTTCCATCTTTTCCCCTCCTCGCTGCAAAAATCCCTCACGAATGGACCCTTCAACATCTGCCTCGGCTCTCAAACTCGAGATCGCTCGACTCAAAGGTCAGTTTCTTATCATTCATATCCTCACGAAAGTCAACGCCTGATTATACATCTCAGGTGCAATCAATAAACGCAAGGCTGAAGAAGCAAGACCCCCACGGACGACAAATTTTCAACCAGGACTTCCAGGACAACGGAGCAACGTGTACGTCAACCCAAATTACAAGCCGCCCAGTAGGACTATTCCGCCACCAAGGCCAGCAACATCAACAGAAACAATCTGGCATCCAACAGCTCCTCGGACTGCTACTGTTGGCACAAGAGATGTAGTCATCGGAGGAGTTACTTTCGAGGCATCAGGACGCTCATTAGTGCGCAAGGATTGCAGGTGTTTGTTTTCTTTGTAGACGGGCGTTGAGCTGACTTTGAGTGTGTTCAATAGTGCCAAAACCCGCACCATCGGCCATCCCCATGCAGCGTACCGCCAACTTTTCAAGGAGCAAAGCAGGAAATCTTCTCAACATGAGTAGAGTATACAAGCCAAAGACATCTGCTCGCCGTCGCCGCGCACAGAATATGACGTTGAAGAATACCAATAGGCCTTACCAGTCTGTTTTCGTTTCTATATATCCTTTGTCATCTTTTTCTTCTTTCATGTCTTATTTGCTAACTCGACACCATTTATACAGCGCTCGTCTCGCAGCCAAAAGGGCCAAATACATCAATAAACCTTGTCCGAGATTCACCACTACGGGTGCGTCACCGTTCCACAACGTCCTCAAATGGCATACAGAAGTTCTCAAGAAGCGCTCCCCTCCTCTTTTCGGGGTGGTTCTCTTTTTGTCTTTCGTTACTGACCTTTTCATAACTGGCATTTGCTTGATTTCAGGTTCTTGTAATCGTGGTCTTACATGCATGTATCAACACGATCCTGCCAAAGTGGCCATTTGCTGGAACTACTTACAAGGCAACTGCCCCAACACTGCCGAAACGTGCAACTTATCACATGATCCTACACCAGAACGTACCCCACTTTGTGTTCATTTTACCAATTATGGTAGATGTACGAGGGTGAATTGTTTATTCCCTCATATCAAAGTGGGTGAAAGGTCTGGTGTTTGTAGAGACTTCGCTGTTCTTGGTTATTGCGAAAAAGGGATAGATTGTGATAAGTTGCACGTTAGAGAGTGCCCTGATTTCGCGGAGAAAGGTGTCTGTCAGACTAAAGGATGTAAACTTCCTCATGTCATCAGGAGGAATCGAACGAAACAACAATCAGGAGCAACGAAAACGACAAGTGATTCCGCTGCAACTGCAAATTCCACCAATGGCACTCCTATGGATTCTTCTTCTGGCTCCTCTGATGTCAACCCTCAAAATCACAACTCTGAGGGTGCTCAAATGGGTGACGAGTTCATTTCTCTTACTTTTCATGAAAGTGAAAGTGAAGATGACGATGACGATGAGGAGGAAGAAGATGGTGATGAAGATGAAGATGAGGAAGAAGATGTTCACGACGGGAACATCTCTGACCATCATTTACAGTGATCTATTGACTTTCTGTATATATCAGAGATACCCCTTTTCGCTTTGTCTTGTTCGTTTGTAGCACCCTCTTCGCTGTTGCTGACTTAGATACTGTATTTGTTGTCCTCGAACTGTACAAACTCTGGGATATGAGAAAGAAATGACATGATAATTTATTCCAAAGTCTTTCCGAGAACTACATTCATGAATCCCTCCCTTCTGAATTAAGCTTGTGGCATTGCGACATCGAACTATTATACAACCATCTCTTCAACAAACTTTCTAGTAACTCCCGCCAGCACGTTGTCAACATCTGTCAAAGTACTCTCTTTCCTAGCAATCTCCATGAAAGCTTCACCGTCGACTTGATTGCCTTCTTTGTCAGTTCCTAAACCACGTCGTGAGATATGCCAATGTTGCGGATTTTGTCCTCGAGAGAACACTTCGAGGACGTCCATGTCGCTAATAGTAGGAACATAGTTAGTCAATTGGTAAGGAGAAGGAGAGAAGAATGATGCAAACCTTTCTAAAATCTGTTGACCATAAAACAAATGTTCTGATTTCGACTTGAAACCACCACCATGAACGTCTTTCGAAGATGTCGTGTATGGACCTTTAGAGATTATGTATAAATCTTGAGGTTCGAGAATTTTTGTTACGGTTGGTATTGAATTTTCTAACCTAAAGATTATAACCAAAGGAAAGAGAATAATTGAGAGTGAGATTTGGAATGAGAAGTGCTTCGCATTAATTACAAGAACTTACGCCTTAGCCTCGTCCTCTTTGATCGCTTCTTGCATTCTGTGAATGAGGGATGGCAGTAATTGACTTATCGGTTTCAGGTCAATCTCGGTATCCGCATCCACTACACATGCAAATGTGATATTGTCAATCTATAAAAGAAGAATACAGGTTTTAGAATCCCGCTGATTTCGGTGAGAAAATTAATGGCTAAGACTTACAGTTGCATGCCATACTCTCTTTCGAACAACCGCGCATGGGTCTTCAGGAGCTTCATCGCTTTCAGGTAACAGATATACAGTCGAGGATAAGAAAGTGGGAGGTGGGATGACCGGTGTTTCAGGAATGTCAGGTTCGAGTTCTGCTGGAGGAGCTGAAGGGGTACTAGGAGGGATAGATTCTGTTGTCGCTACTTCAGGACCTGGTATTGGCGTGGGTTGAGGCTCTTCCTCTACCTCATTTTGAACCGAACCTGTTTTCTTTGGTTCAGTTTCTTCCTCCTTTTCTTCTATTGGTGATTCCGTGGCAATCGGTAAGATATTAGATTCTTGGATTGGGGAAGTCACAGATGGAGAGCGAGAATGAATTGAATGAGTCCTCGAAGGTGATGTTGGTACAAGAGCGTTTTCGGTCGAGATGGCTTCTTGAAGTGATTCGGTATCAATGTCAGGTGTTACAGTACCTGTAGCAGATGGTTCTGAATGTGACTTGGGTGGCTCGAGGTCTGCTGGGACACCAAGTGAATTCACGTCGGACGCAAGTGGAGATTTGTTGTCTGTTACTGTGGTAGGCGTTTGTGGGAGAGAGATGGCAATTTTGGGGGTAGCATTACTCGTACTACCACCACCACCTTTCCCAAATGACATGTATCCACCCCAATTCCATTTTATGTTGCGTACGTCCATATTCAAATTCATTGGGGGAAGGTTTAAGAAGCTTATGCTTTTGGGACGTTCTGGCTTCGGTGCTTGAGTGTGCTCTTCTGTCGACGACTTTTCGTGTATTTGAGGTTCGGGCTTGGAAGACGAAGGTTGTTCAGCTGACGGTTTCTCTGGCTCTGGAGGGGGCGGAGGTGGTGGGGGTGGAATTCTAGTGGCGATGTAGCGAGCGAGTGCATTTGGATACTTGGAATGTAATAACTTAGTAGATGGGATGACGTAGGGTGGTATCAAGGCGAATGTAGTGGTATCTGATGGTATATTGGATGAAAGCTCGTCGAGAAGCGGGGTTAGCACTCGATGTGAGGGATGGGTTGGTGCGCCTAGCAAGCCAAGAATGAGTATATCTAGCTGGATATACTTGGAAGAAGATAGCGTACCTAAATGGTCGGTGAAATCAATTTGTTCAGATGTGTCCCATCGCCATGCCCATACGGTGAAGAATCTTTCCAGTTGGAGCTCTAGTGCTTGTTGACCCAATTTCGACAATATCGACGTGAATGACCCATGTGTAAGCTGTATATTTCTTAACATTCTGACATATTTGGAAACGAAAAGATACGCACTTTGAACTCTTCGT